GTCGGGGCCGTGGGCGGAGGTCTGCACAATGGGCGGCACGAGGCAGCTGGAGACCGGGGTCAAAATATTTACAGGAGGGAGTTGGCAGTATTGTTGACACCCCGCGGCCCGCGCTCCACACGTCGCCTCGGAGCTCCTCGCCACACACACACACACACACACACACACACACACACACACACACACACACACACACACACACACACACACACACACACACACACATACACACATACACACGCAGTGTGTGGGAATAGGAAGTAATGTGGTGGAGGCTGACTCCATACACAGTTTCAAGTGTAGATATGATAGAGCCCAATAGGCTCAGGAATCTGTACACCTGTTGATTGACGGTTGAGAGGCGGGACCAAAGAGCCAGAGCTCAACCCCCGCAAGCACAACTAGGTGAGTACAGTGGCACCTTGTTCAGTGGTACGCGAACAAGGGGACACAGGTGGAAACTGAGTGGAGAGTGCAAATAGTATGATTGTCACAACACGTATTTATTTATGTATGAATTTGTTCCCGTAAACTCACAGGGGGACAGAAACAAGACTTCCGGAGCTCTCGCCTATTTTAATTTATAAATCATTATGTCAACTTCATCAAACATTGAGGAAAGGTTGGGAACATTCGTGTCTAATTTGCTGTAAGTTATGATAAATATACATAAATATGGCACAGTAAACGTGAATAGTAACATTACATTCACTTGGGCCGTAGAAGCCTCGAACCACGGATCCCGAAAGCGGAAGACCGTAGCTCCATGAACCAAGCTACTGAACCCCTACAATAGTGGAGCGTCTGAGACACATTCAACTGACGTCCAACTGAGACTTTAGTCTCCTGTGGGTAACTAGGACTACCCATAGGTGAGATGTGCGGCACCCGCGCGGTATATAAACACCTGGAGGTCACAGGTTTCCTTCCATAGCCCTGCTGCTGTGCCAGGTTAGTCCACTACGGGCTCACCATAGCCCGTACTACTTGGAACGTTTGTTCTGAGTAGCTGAATCTAAAATGTGAAAACACAGGTTTCCCACCAGGTCACTTCAGGTCACTGCCCCACGCCATGCCAAGTGGTTTTTGTTATTCAAGGAACAAATCAAAGAATTATTATTCAATGAATAAATCGCGTGCTGAATATACGTCTTGCAGTCACTTTTAATAAACAAGAGGTTTAGAGAGCGGGATAACCAACGAGCTGCGGGGTAGCATTAGGCTCGCCAAAGCCGCCAAAATAGGAAGTGCAGTAGGTGGAAGTGAACACGGAGAGGCTATTAGTATTGTTCGCGCACTCGTGTACCCATTAGCTGAGATATAGAGGCCCAAGCTGCGGCGCTTGATGGCTCGCCTCGGGTAATGAAGCAACCATACCCACCAACAGATGGATTTGCTCCGGTTTAATAGTTCACATTCTCATTCTCGTTTAGCGCCAGTCCTTCACCACAGACAGCCCTGATGCATCTGGCAGCCGGCCCCTCACTTTTGGTATAACTATTATACCACAAGTGATGTATTATAATACAATATTTTAACACTTGGGTTTTATTCACGAGTATTATTCGTATTCTTCTGGTGTGGGCGCCTACCATGAGGTATATATAATAATAATAATAATAAGAAGAAGAAGAAGAATTATTTTTATCAACTATACATAAAACATTACAGTGATTAGTTTGTAGGTAGAGAGGTTGCGTAATACATAAAGCCACTAATATGCATTAGTTCTTCAAAGTCTGATGCTAATGTTGTGATACATGTTGACCCAGTAACTGTGTCACCGCTCTGATGGTAAGCTACACATGACTTTACCATTTTATCTCACCATTCAAATTGCAAGTTAAATATTTTAAATTTATGCTCAAAATGTAAGTTGGATTTAGACTGCTGAACACCTGTTTTGTCAAGCACTAATTATGACAATGAGTATAAGTTGATACGAATAAAACCTCTAATTCTAAAAGTAGTTATAAAAACATTACCTTCAGCGTGTGCCAATACCCATTGAAGATTTTATCTTTTCATTTATTTATTTATATACAAGAAGGTACATTGGGTTTGTGAGAATACATAGCATAGTACAGTATTTACCCTCTTGTACGCACAGCGTTTCGGGCTGCGCGTACTCGGGCTACTACTCGGTTTCGGGCTGCGTGAAATTGACTTCTTTCAATTCTAAGGCAATCGCTGTTTTTACGCCATGAAATCAACCGGCAGGTTAACCTTGAAATTGGGCTCAAGACTCCAAAATTGGTTGAGGCTTGGTGTAAGTGGGCGAGTTCACCCTTCAAGTAAGGGGGTCACCATTGAGGAAGGGTGTGGTTGCCCTGGAGAGAGGGCGGGGTCGAGGTTGGTGTCACGCTGAGAGAAGGCGGGAACAGAACATTTATTCCTTTATTATGCACCCCATACCCATCTTGTGGGCTGTAGTGGAAAGGGTTACAGAGGCACATGAGCGGGGTCATCCTTGAGGTATTTCCCACCACTGATAATGTGAGCAGTGAGGTTATTTGATGTAGGGTGAGTAATGAGGTAAGTGATGAGTGAAGCGAGTGATAAATGAGGCGAGTGTTGAGTGAGGGAGATTTAATGGCGAGGTAAATTATCGATGAAGAGAGCGACGAATAAGGCAACTCATAGGTGAGGGGGGAAGTCATGAGTAAGGTGAATGACGAGTGAGGTGAGGGCTCACCTGGGCTCCCAAGTCCTGTAATGACCTAACCCTCACCTTGCTGAGCAAGTTACAGCCCCGCTCCTGTGCCAGGTAAGTCTACTACGGGCTCACCATAGCCCGTGCTACTTGGAACTTTTTGTTCCAAGTAGCTAATCTTAAACAACAACAACAACAACCTTGCTGAGGTCATCCTACGCGCCTCCCTCCCACACACACACACACACACACACACACACACACACACACACACACACACACACCCACACACACACACACACACACACACACACACACACACACACACACACACCTCACACACACACACACACACACACACACACACACACACCTCACACACACACACACACACACACACACACACACACACACACACACACACACACACACACACACACACACACACACACACACACACACACACACACACACACACACACACACACACACACACACACACACACACACACACACACACACACACACACACACACACACACACACACACACACACACACACACACACACACACACACACACACACACCTCACACACACACACACACACACACACACACACACACACACACACACACACACACACACACACACACACACACACACACACACACACACACACACACACACACACACACACACACACACACACACACACACACACACACACACACACACACACACACACACACACACCCACACACACACACACACACACACACACACACACACACACACACACACACACACACACACACACACACACACACACACACACACACACACACACACACACACACACACACACACACACACACACACACACCCGCCCGCTTGTCGACGTTTTAACTCCCATTACTCGGGAAATTAATCAGTATCAGATCGCGACGGATAAGCGTCATTAGTTAATGTGGGAATTAAGTGTTTAACCGCATGTGTGAACAGGCAACTGCCTGTATCACAGATAAAACACCGCTAGTCAACCTGTTCACCACTTATTCATACTCAAACACACGCAGCACCATGCCATCCTTACCTGGATCCTAGGGAGGGGGGGGGGGTAGAACACGCGCTACAGTTTAGGCAACTGGACCCATAAAACGACTGGAAGTCAACCAAAATCAAGAGGACATCTTTTGTGGGAGACGTCCATGTGGTGAACGAGGATTTGGAGACTTGACACATGGCTTAGACAGTTACCACTGTCATGACATCTCTGTTAGATACTGCAGTAATGATATATCTGTGACAGACAGTTACCACTGTAATGACATCTGTGTTAGACAGTTACCGCTGTAATGACATCTGTGTTAGACAGTTACCGCTGTAATGACATCTGTGACAGACAGTTACCGCTATAATGACATCTGTGTTAGACAGTTACCGCAATAATGACATCTGTGTTAGACAGTTACCGCTGTAATGACATCTCTGTGTTAGACAGTTACCGCTGTAATGACATCTGTGTTAGACAGTTACCGCTGTCATGACATCTGTGTTAGACAGTTACCGCTGTAATGACATCTATGTTAGACAGTTACCACTGTAATGACATGTGTTAGACAGTTACCACTGTCATGACATCTGTGTTAGACAGTTACCGCTGTAATGACATCTGTGTTAGACAGTTACCGCTGTAATGACATCTGTGTTAGACAGTTACCGCTGTAATGACATCTGTGTTAGACAGTTACCACTGTAATGACATCTGTGTGTTAGAGTGTTATCACTGTAATAAGAATAAACCTGACTGAATAATGTCAATGTTTACGTTTCATGTTATCATAATTCAAGTTAACTTTTCCTTTGTGAAACAGTTAAGACTGAGTGTTTGCACTAATCGCTAAGCATTATGACGCAAGTTTGGCTGACAGCTATAGCCCAGCTGTACATCTGCGAGTACATTAAACCTTGTTACACAAATTTCCAATTTAAATTACATTGTATATGCCAAAACATTAGATAAAACTAAGCCATTGGCAGTGCGCAACGACTTAATCAGATAATTAATAGAGTTTTGTGGGTGCTTTATGATATATTTAATGGCCAGCCAGAGAGGGGGTCCATCCTGCTTGAGCGAGCATGGGATGGTTAGTGGGAGGGGGAATGAGTGGTAAGTGGGGGGAATGGGTGGTAGGTGGGGGAATGGGAGGTAGGTGGGGGAATGGGTGGTAGGTGGGTGGGGGAATAGGGGGCAGGTGGATGGGCAGACGCAGGCGTAAATCTTGCCGCCAGCCTTGGCAGGTGGGTAACTAATGTGGTGTGTACTGTTCTTGTCTCCCCCGCAGCGGTGTAAGGAGAAGCTCAACACCCTGGCCATCAGCGTCATGAACCAGTGGCCGGGCGTGAAGGTGCGGGTCACCGAGGGTTGGGACGAGGAGCTCCACCACGCCCCTCACAGTCTTCACTACGAGGGCCGTGCCCTTGACATCACCACCTCTGATAAGGTCAGTTGTCGCTGCCAACCTTGTATATAAGGTCAGTCATAGAGGCGGTCGATGCCACGGGTAAAGTCACTATGGATACATCTCCAACACGGTCAGTGATGGAGAGAATGAGGCCATGACTGGCCAACATTCACGACTAAGACCAGGTGTGCAAGGCGGCAGTCACAGGTAAAGTCGATCAGTGCTGAAGGGGCTACCTGAATGAGATCTTTAATTCGATGCCTTTAATATGCATCCTCAAATCCTTCTTGTGAAATTGTTTGGACTCTAGCGTTTAGTGTTGTGAATAACAACTTATATGTATATATATATGTATATGTATATATATATATATATATATATATATATATATATATATATATATATATATATATATATATATATATATATATATATATATATAATTTAGTAAGGCTTGGAGAGGTGAGGAGCACTAAAGTCAAGTCCACTTGAGGAAGACGAGATGGATGACCCAGAGCGAGGCTTGCTCGGCCCAAGGATGACTTGCAAGTGGTGGTGAATTTCAATAGTGACGCTGGCCGGTATGGCAGTAATGTTGTGCAACACATTACTGCCATACACAACACTGGAGCACACATCATTTAACAAGTAGATTAGTGCCAGAGCTAAGAGGGATAAGTTACGAATATAGGCTAATGAAACACATCTCTCAACCGTAGAGGATAGAAGGAACAGAGGTGATATGATTATAAGTTACAAGATACTGAGGAGGGAATAGATCAGGTGGACAAGGATTGAGAGAAAGCAGGACAAGAGGACACTGGTGAAGGCTGGAAACGCAAATGAGCCGAAAAGACGTAAGAAAGTACTCATACTCTGTACGGATAGTTAACAAGTGGAATGTTCTACCAGAGAAAGTAATGGAGGCTACCTCCATCCACAACTTTAAAACACGATTCGACAAAGAATTTGAAAGCCAGCCAGAGTAGTTAGGTTGAAACGCAATAGGTACAAGGCTAGGCAGCCATAACAAGCTAAACCTCACTCCTCCGTAGACTACTGTACCTACTGTAGTAGCTCCAGTAGACTACTGTTCATGGCTACTGCAGCTCCAGTATGATACTGAAATAAGTGGAATGCCGGTTCACGAAAAATTGCTTATATATTTTTTTATATAATTTTTCCAACACGAAGTTATATATTTTCGAATTAAAACAATGAATGGAACTGTTGTTAAGAGACTGTACAATTTATTAAATATTTCAGGAGTAATAACTATCATCAGTGCTAAATTTCCTTGAGCAAGACGCTGGACGAGTTATTGTGGAGAGGAGAAGATTGGGATAACAAAAGCAGCAGAACAAAGAGCTTCACGCTGGCTAGCATGCCAGTAACACACGAGAACAATAATTAGAGCCAAAACAATACTCTGCTCGCTAGAATACCAAGATATCACAAGACTCTTCACGAGGACCACACAGCGTCTGCAGTGACCGCCATCCCGGTAGGGACAAGACAAGAGGACCTCAAGCCTTCTCATTCATGTTGACCGGCTTCCCATTCAAAAATAGTTTGAACACCCGAAACTGTAATTATAATGCTGATTGTAAGACAAAGAAAGGCAACAATGATTAATGGGCATGAGATGACGAAACCCCTCTGGATGAGCTGATAAGCTCATCGTTAGTCATGTTAGTTAGTGGTGAGATATTTATCTTGCCATGACGCTGCCATTGTTGCACGATATCAACACTAGGTAGTGGCCCTGGTGTCCGGCTCCACCACAATGCCTTCCCTACCAGTCGAGTCATATACGACAATATTATTGCCATTGCAATTTTAATTCGTGCTCTGCATCGCGTGTATTCTTTTCTGTGGGATGGACTATGTGGGTCAAGAGGTCTTAGGAACCCCCAGAGAGACTGCGCAGGTCGAGCCACAGGATGTCCCCCTGGAGAGAAGGGGCAGATCGAGAGGTACAGGGGAGTCCCCAGAGAAACTGCGCAGGTCGAAACTCGCAGAGTTCCCAGACACACTGCGCAGGTTGGGAGACACAGGGAGTTCCCATCCAGAAACACTGCATAGATCGAGAGGTACAAGGGGTCCCCAGAGACGCTGAGCAGGTCAAGAGGCAAGGAGTCATCAGAGAAGCTGCTCAAGACCAGACCTCTTATCTTTTCTTACTGAGGAACGTAAGCGATGAAGATATTAATGTCTCATTCTGTCCTCTTTACCTCAGTCACCCAAACTCATTACTTAGGGATAATTCAATCTGTCCTCTGCATTAATACATAGCATTTTGACATCAAATTATGATGTACTGTAAATCATAGCAGCTCACATACATTCGCATTTTCTATGTGTAGTGCAGCCGGTTAGGTTAGATTGGGTCATCTAGTACATCATTTTCTGTCCGTTGTGACAACTCCAGAGGAGGAGTAGGTAATTCAGCCCATTATCACCTCAGTCCCACCCACCACCTTCATCCTATGCAATGCCTGTGTCACCACCACCACCAGCCCTCAGGCCCTAACCCTTTATACCTGTGTCACAGCCACTGCCACATACAGCACTACCTGAGCTCATCACCACTGGTATTGACTTGTCACGTGTATACAAGCTCATCACCATTCATCATTACTGCCGTCACTGACAGGTACTGTTCTTGATCAATGGCGATAATCTTGCCTCAACTACCAACACACTGCCACTACACATAGCCTACCATTCCTAGCACACTAATACACTACCACTCCCAGCCCACTACCTGCACACTACCACTACCAACCCATTACCAGCACACTACCACTACCCTAGCTCTCCTCACTATACCTCAGCTTCCTCTGGAGAAGACCACAAATGTTGCTCACTACCAGTGCCGATAACCACCATTAACCTGCACTCTTCCCATTCACCACCACCACCATCTCATCACCACCACCTCCAGCTCACCACCACCACCCCCTACCACTGCCTGTGGTCACCACTAACCTCCACTCATTACCCAACAGGATCGGTCAAAATACGGGATGTTGGCGCGTCTGGCTCGAGAGGCGGGATTTGACTGGGTGTACTACGAGTCCAGGTCTCACATCCACTGCTCCGTCAAGTCTGGTGAGTGCGAGGGTCTAGCTGCAGGCGGTGAGTTGGTGTTGAGAGGCAGTCTGCTGGCAGACGGGGGGTTCCTCGGAGTCTCCTGAAGAAAGGTGCCGCGCCTCGGGAGGTTCATGGCCGCAGGAGGGAGAGAGGGAGGGAAGAGAGAGGTGGGAGGGAGTGAGGGAGGGAGAGACAGGGAGGGAGGGCCTCGAGCTATGACCACAACTCAAGACCATCATACTGTAACAAAAAACAAGTGAAAAATATTCCCTGTGATGATTACATGCCGCTTTTTTTGCTTCGTAGAACAGTTGTGCGCGCTGCAAGGATTATACTTTATTGTTTTGGAATATTTTTTTTATAGATACTTTTTTTTATCATTTTACAGATAACACGGTCAGAAGGTAGGCATGCCTTTGGTGCTCGGTTCCTATTTCCACGGTGTTACCGGCTCTCTGGATGGTCGTCGTCCCTCGGAGTGGGAATACTCCAGTACTGAGGCAGTATCTGTGTGCCATTCCATGGGTATGGCCATCCTTGTACTTGGTCTGGCTGTGGCAAATCCAATTACGGAAATGTGGATAGGATGGGATGGGAAATTAACGTACCGTCTGAGGATAGGGCACGATCTTCTGCCTTGGGTCGAGGCTAGAACCCATACGCTTTTAAATTGGTCATACCTGTATTTGTAGTGGGAGGCCATTCTTGTAGAGTGGGAAGGTGGCCATTCTTGTAGAGTGGGAAGGTGGCCATTCTTGTAGAGTGGGAAGGTGGCCATTCTTGTAGAGTGGGAAGGTGGCCATTCTTGTAGAGTGGGAAGGTGGCCATTCTTGTAGAGTGGGAAGGTGGCCATTCTTGTAGAGTGGGAAGGTGGCCATTCTTGTAGAGTGGGAAGGTGGTCATTCTTGTAGAGTGGGAAGGTGGTCATTCTTGTAGAGTGGGAAGGTGGCCATTCTTGTAGAGTGGGAAGGTGGTCATTCTTGTAGAGTGGGAAGGTGGCCATTCTTGTAGAGTGGGAAGGTGGTCATTCTTGTAGAGTGGGAAGGTGGTCATTCTTGTAGAGTGGGAAGGTGGCCATTCTTGTAGAGTGGGAAGGTGGTCATTCTTGTAGAGTGGGAAGGTGGCCATTCTTGTAGAGTGGGAAGGTGGTCATTCTTGTAGAGTGGGAAGGTGGCCATTCTTGTAGAGTGGGAAGGTGGCCATTCTTGTAGAGTGGGAAGGTGGCCATTCTTGTAGAGTGGGAAGGTGGCCATTCTTGTAGAGTGGGAAGGTGGCCATTCTTGTAGAGTGGGAAGGTGGCCATTCTTGTAGAGTGGGAAGGTGGCCATCGTTGTAGGGTGTGTCAATACTCGTACTATGATGGACTAGTGAATATCCTTGTATTACAAGTTATCGTACCTACATTATGGATGTGGCCATACCTGTGCTGTGGATGTCTGGCTAACCTGCCCTATGGATATGCGACATTTTTTATGCAGTCGTCCTTGTGTTCCGAATTTATGGCCATCAACTTGCTTTTGAGAGGAAGTGGCCATTCCCACACTGTGTTCAAGGCGGGCAAGACCTATCATGTAGGGAGGAGTGGCTTAGCTGGAAATTAATGAGTCGAGGGCTTTCATCCACAGACACTCGTAAGCCAAGCGTGTGAGTCTGCACCCACACGCTTGCAGTCACCCATTTAATACTCATAGCGTGAATTCATCTTTTCAGTCACGCATACTACACGCCGCACGCGCGAGCGTGCCCAAGCACGCAGCCGTAAACTTCACACACACACACACACACACACACACACACACACACACACACACACACACACACACACACACACACACACACACACACACACACACGGACACACACACACACACACACACTCACACACACTCACACACACACGGACACACACACGGACCACCCCAGCGCCGTGGAGGGTGACGGACGTATCGCTGGCAGGATCTGAGGAGGTCTGCGCCGCTCCAACAATGTTTCACTCACCTTCACCTGTTGGCGGCACTCTCCCAAAACACCCCGCCTCGCCCTTACCACCCACCTGCACTCACACACTCCCGCCCACGCCCTACGAGCCTTCTGTTCCATCCGTCCTACCGGCCCTGGCGCCTCGAGGACGGCGGAAAGGAGCGTGCAGTCCAGCGAAACTGCTTGCGGAATGGGACGAAACATTATGGAAGAGTGTTAAGTTCGGCGCGAAGGTAGGAGCCAGCGGCCGGTCATTTTATTCTATCATCTCGTTCAGTATTACAAGGTGCCGGCCAACCCATTATTTGCCTCTTTGTTAACAAGCTCCGGACCGGCCGTGGGGGAGTGTGGGATAGCTGTGTGGGATAGGCGTGTGGGAGGTGTGAGGAGTGCGGGGGTGGGAAGAACACTGTGGGCGAATATCCCATATGGCGGCAGCCTACTGAGAGGAGATATAAAGAACAGACTAACGTGCTTTGGGGTGAATCGTCGATTGAGAATAGGGAGGAGAGACCGCTGAGGGAGTAAGAATGGAGAGGAGAGACCGCTGAGGGAGTAAGAATGGAGAGGAGAGACCGCTGAGGGAGTAAGAATGGAGAGGAGAGACCGCTGAGGGAGTAAGAATGGAGAGGAGAGACCGCTGAGGGAGTAAGAATGGAGAGGAGAGACCGCTGAGGGAGTAAGAATGGAGAGGAGAGACCGCTGAGGGAGTAAGAATGGAGAGGAGAGACCGCTGAGGGAGTAAGAATGGAGAGGAGAGACCGCTGAGGGAGTAAGAATGGAGAGGAGAGACCGCTGAGGGAGTAAGAATGGAGAGGAGAGACCTCTGAAGGAGTAAGAATGGAGAGGAGAGACCGCTGAGGGAGTAAGAATGGAGAGGAGAGACCGCTGAGGGAGTAAGAATGCAGAGGAGAGACCGCTGAGGGAGTAAGAATGCAGAGGAGAGACCGCTGAGGGAGTAAGAATGGAGAGGAGAGACCGCTGAGGGAGTAAGAATGGAGAGGAGAGACCGCTGAGGGAGTAAGAATGGAGAGGAGAGACCGCTGAGGGAGTAAGAATGGAGAGGAGAGACCGCTGAGGGAATAAGAATGGAGAGGAGAGACCGCTGAGGGAGTAAGAATGGAGAGGAGAGATCGCTGAGGGAGTAAGAATGCAGAGGAGAGACCGCTGAGGGAGTAAGAATGGAGAGGAGAGAGAGCGGATAGATCGATTAAGAAATGGGAATGGAGAGGGAGGAAGGATGGACCGCTGAGTTAGAATGGGGAGGGAGGGAGGGAGGATGAAGGAGAAATGTGAGGGGGGGTAGGGATGGAGGAAAGGTCAAGAGGAAGATGAAAGGTGAGAGGAAAGGTGTAAGGGAGATCAAACACAGTATGAGACAGCAGAAGAGGCAGCTTACAGCCAGCTTGCCAAGACAGCCTTGGCAGGCACAGCGGCCAGGCAACACACGCAGACAAGACGGGTCAAGAGAGGAGCACACACACACAATAACAAGACAATGGTTCTCTAATGGAGTATAATGGAGAAGTGGCGGGCCTGGGTGAACCCCAGCATAATGGGGCGGGGTTTGCCTTCCCAACATAGCCCCTCCATCCTCAGTGTGGCTCTGGCAACACTGTACAAACACGTATACACGCCCGCGCTGGGGTCTTTCTCTGATAGCTAAATAAGCAAAATTACTATGTCGTAAATCCCCGCATTAGTAAAAAGCATATATAATCAGGGCTAAACTAACAGTCCCGTGCTTAAAATAAACACCCTCAACAAGAAATATACATCGGTGATACGGTGCCCGTATCGTCTCGTATTACTGGTGTAAATATAATTAGGCTCGTATCTTATCTTGGGCGAGCGGTTGCAGCAGCGGCGGCGTGGCTGGGTCGGGCACGGCGACCTGGGCTGGACTCGACGCGCACAATAACTCCACCGACCCCTCACAATAATACCTTCTAATGGCCACAGTCTCGCCTTATCGCACACAAACGTGCCCCAGCCAGATATTACCAAACATGACAACAGTGATATCATCTCCTTGGCTTTTCTTTCTTCTCAACCGGAAAAATGTCGTCCGTATCTTAATGTCCAATAATATCAGGCTCATTTGTCCTCGCCTTCAAACTGTTTTACATAAGTAATTACCACCGTAAAAATTTATGAACCAGCATTAAAAAACAAAACAAAAAAAAATCAGCAAGCCATAAGAAAGGCGCCACTTCTTGCCCATCTCGTCGCTGAGTATAATTAGGTCGGTATCTATCTGCGGTGAAAATAATTAGGCTGGTCTTCCTCTCCCGCTGTCAGTCAACGTTATCGAGCAGCATCGCGTCCAGCGCCTCTCTCCCTACCCGATCAATGGCTGTTTTATTGTCTTTTAATAGTGTACATAATAGGTATATTTGTGCTTCTTAATTGTCGTTTTTTTCTACTAGACGATGATGACTGATAATTGTAATCGGTTGATAGTCGTAGAAAGTCACCGTGGAACAAATTATATGAGGAGGGTGGACCTCTGGCTTGAGATAACTCTCCGGTGGGCCAGTAAAGAACACTAGGAGGTCTGATAGGCTCTTGTTTTGTGGGCCGTACCATTACCGCAGACAGTGTAGAGCATTTTTACCACCAGGTCATGTGTGTGTGTCCGTGGCTACGATAACACCAAGGCCATAGAGCGTCCCTGGCCAGGATAACAGCAAGTCGTGAGGGCGTCCATGGCTGAGATAACAGCAGGTCGTGAGGGCGTCCGTGGCTGAGATAACAGCAGGTCGTGAGGGCGTCCGTGGCTGAGATAACAGCAGGTCGTGAGGGCGTCCGTGGCTGAGATAACAGCAGGTCGTGAGGGCGTCCGTGGCTGAGATAACAGCAGGTCGTGAGGGCGTCCGTGGCTGAGATAACAGCAGATCGTGAGGGCGTCCGTGGCTGAGATAACAGCAGGTCGTGAGGGCGTCCGTGGCTGAGATAACAGCAGGTCGTAAGGGCGTCCGTGGCTGAGATAACAGCAGGTCGTGAGGGCGTCCGTGGCTGAGATAACAGCAGGTCGT